TTTTGGAGCACCTTAAAAAATTTGTAAAAAATCTAATTTCAATCAAAATCAGCTTAAACTTGAAAACATACAGCATAAGTACTTGTACATGCGTTAGGAAAAAAATTTTTTGATGAAAAATTTTCTCCTGGCCATTTTTGGTGAAATTTGGCCAAAAATCAAGTGCCTGACAATGTTAAATTCAGAGAAATTCCAGAAACCTTATAGCATTACCATCAATTTCATCTGATGCCGGTATTTATTTACAATACTCAAGTCAGCAATAAGATGCTTACGTTAAGATAATTATTGATTTTACTAAAATATTATTGTTTTTATCTTAAAACAGCATTTATAAACAATCGTATCCAGTATTTACTGAGCCAAGCCTTCCTCCACACTCACCAAGTGCTTTTGAACAGACCAAAACATTTGAAAACCTCAATTCTGATGCACGAGTATATGAATCAGCAAGTATTAATAGTCCCAGTGTTACAATACATGAGGATAATTCAGTTTCTTTTTCTTCTACTGCTGGATCTGATCGTCCTCTATTACCTGAACGTGCTCCTATGACCTCATACCAAACTACAGCTGCAGAGGAAGGAAAGGTTTTCAGCCACTAATAATTTATTATTATATGTATTATTATAGGTTAATAAGCCTCATGAAGTTAGAGCTGATAGCGGACCTTTTGAAATTGTACATATATAATGGGGACTGCACGGAATGGTAGAATCATTCAATAGAAATTTGAGGCTCCATCATTTAGATATTAAATTATTTATATACATATATGTTAAATCACAGGTTAAACAAGCAGCAATTATAATTTTGTATAGACTGGATCTGTAAAATTATATTATCATTTTACTTTTGTGTGCTAAATTTTTGTATTTCCTTTTTCTTCAAAAAGTGACGTATTATTTCAGACGTCAATCAGAATTAAGTCAAATCACATAGAAAGCAGTGATATGTATAAAATGTAATGGAGTCTTTGATTCTTACATGCATATGCAAATATTTAAATTCTCTCTTAGTCACTTTTGATAAAATACCCTATACTTGCAGAGACTTTGGCTCAATTTTTGAGCAACTTTAAAATTTTTTAAAAATTTCAAAACTTAAAAAACAACATAAGAACATGTATATGTATCAGGAAAAATTATAAAAATGAAGAAATCTGTCCTCTTCATTATTGGCAAAATTTGGCCGAAGACCCTATACCCTGTACAAGGACTTTGGCTTGATTTTGGCCTATAACCTTGATTCCAATCAAAATTAGATTTTTTATGAATTTTAAAATTGCTAAAAAATTTGACCAAAAACCATATGGGCTCTAGGGCTATAGTGCAGGCAGGGTTTTTTTGTTAAAAGTGGCTCTAGGAATGTTTTTCATGAAAATTTCCCAAGTACAAAACCAAAGGCAAGGCAATGGTGCATTTGGCACTGCTATACATGAGCACTGTTATTGTACACCCTGGATCAATTGCAATACATGTACATGATACAAGTACATGCCCATACTTATATAAGACTGTTGCTACTTTTTATGCTTTGCATGTCAAATTATGAATATGATTTAATTATTAATCACTTTTATAGACGCCAGGCCAGTAGCAGCTTCCATGTATCCTGAGGTCACAACTAATGGACAGTTCAATATTACTGTTGATTACATTCGTGGAGTACCAGAATTAGTGATACAAGTACTAACGTCAAATGGAAGTGAACACTCTACTCAAGAGATTAGTCTGAGACCTGATAATGGCAGACGTTCTTTGACTGTTTTAAGCAGTGTACTATTAGCTAATGGTAGCTACACTTAATCCTTCATCTCATTTCTGGAGTAATTGGTGCTGGTTTATTGGTAATACTTATGATTTTACTAGCATTGCTATTGATGTGTAAGAGACAAGATGGGGCTATTTCAGTTCAGGTATAGTAGTATATAAATGTAGATATTCTATTGTTATTATTATGTAGAAATTGCTACATGTCATCAACATCAGATGTGTCATCTGATGTGACAAATAAGATCTGAAGCTCCAACAAGTGAACCAGTACAAGGGACTATAGTGGATTCTTATCATGTTTCTACTGATGAATTACAGGAATGTAAGTTACTACTGAATGATGCAATATGCTCTCAATGCTGTGAACATAATGTTCTATTGTGAACAATGTATTCAACACTAACTCCCATGTATTATGTCTCCACATGAGGTAATACTATATTTGTACTTGAAACCATATGATATGTTGTTTACTGCCAAAACGCTACCGTCTACTAATTACGTGTAGCGTACACTTGTTATTGAAATAACAAGAATAATGTTTATTATTATTTTTATGATGTTATGATAACAACATGCACCCAATGATGAACAAGCTTTAATGACAGGGGCTGATATACTATTATATATAATAATAAGTATTATTTGTTAATAATTGAAATTTAATTATGTAACATTATGTAACAGATGTGTGGTTGCTTCTGTGTGTAATTTTCCTATCTGCATAATGAGATCCATGAGCTGTTAATTGGTGCCACAATCCTAATCTTACTGTTACTGATACTAACAACACTGCTACTTAGGCAGATTTACAATATTATGCTGATCCTGATGTTACATTGACGCTGGAGTTGAATCTGGTTCAACTCCAGCATGAATCATGCATCAAAAGGTCAAATTGCCACGCTTTTGATTAAAAATTGACAGTATGTTGGCCACTTGGCCTAGCGTAATATTGTAAATCTGCCTTTATGCTGTTATTGGTAGGAGGACTGATACTGCTGATGTACCACCACCTGCTGTCCAACGTGATGAATATAACAATGTTGCTGGAGATATTAGCAAGGTAATTGAATTACAGTTAAATGTACATGTTAATGGAATATTTTGTGTGGCTAATGCTTATACATGCACGTTGTGTTTAATTATCATTATTTTTATGTTATTTAATATTATGCTGCAAATGGTCTTTCTCATACAGTACTGAGTCTATTACTGTATCACTAAGAGTATCACCTCAAGCTTTACCAGTTGATTATCCTTATCCTCAAGAAGTGTCACCAATTAACTAATGGTATTTGTATGGTCAGTATGATTTGTATTTGCTGATAATAGTTCAAGATATGCATGTACATGTATAACAGCATATTTAATTGTGTATTTTGCTTTACTTTATCTTTATTTTATTATTTTAGGTTAGAATATGATGACTCATCAA